GTTTACTTTGGTTAAGCGAAATCGTGTACCATGAGTTTGGACTTAGCTCTAAGGTAAATATTATGGATATATTCTTGAAAAGATTAATTTTAATTTTTAAATAAGCGAACCGGTGTTGCCCGGTAATAGCCATAGCCAACCAGGGTCAGTGTTCAAGAACCGGCGAAATATACATGCCATATCGAGTAGGATCGCTTTTTGCATTTGTGCTAGAAACGACACGCCACAGATGTCCAACCGTCTCGAATTGTTAGCGAGACTGACTGGAATTAGTCAGTTTGCGGACAAAATTATTGAGATACTTTAATTGACGGCCACATCTCACTCGTCGATGATCTCATGTGTCACATTGAGATACTCCGACGTTTGTCGGTTTCGGCTTTCACGAGTACCCTCATCATTATCATTAATATAACTTTAACGCAAGCTATCAACTGCTCTCTTCCAGTTAATCCGTAATCAGGGAACGTGAAACCACTCTAAATTACAGAATGGTTAAAAAATTCCAGTCTTTTACTATAAACAGGGTTTATTCCTGTTGTCCATGGACCCCTAAGAAGTTCGTGTAATGAATGCCGGGGGTCCAGCGAGCCTGCGTAACATAATGCATTAATATAAAAATGTTTTTTTTTAATAATATCTAGTGACGGGATGAACAACAGTCGTGCGTCTGATGGTAAGCTACACGCTTGTCCATAACAGTTGCAGTGCCACTCAGAACTTTAAATCGCAAAGATCTGTGGGGCACCGCCACTGCACCTGTCACCCTGAGACAAGTTGACAAGTCCCATGTTTCTGTAATTTCACCAGCACCCTTACCCTTCAAAACCGTAGCAGTAGAGCTCTTTGTGAAAAACTTCATCCAGGGAAGTGCTGCGACCGTACCTGTTTCTGCCGCCAAGCAGTAATGCTCGCATTACTGCGTTCTGGATTTGAAGGGCAAGGGTGCTGGTGAAATTAAAGCACATGACATTTTTCAACTCATGTCTTAGTGCCCTTTGAGCAGCACTGCAACTGTTACGGACACGCGTGACGCTTACCACCAGGCGCACGACTTGTTCGTCCCGTAACTAAGTATCATAAAAAAACAGTAATGCTGACATTACTGCTTGGCAGCAGAAATAGATAAGGTGGCAATATTACTCTGGACGAATTCTTTCACTAGGAGCCCTACTGCTCGCAAAATGGTATACAGTATGTTGTGAGTAAATAGGTACTAGACGCGTGACCTTTTTGTATTTTTGCGCCCTTTGACAGCCATCCATTATTGGAGAGAGCGAGACGCGCGTCAACGCACCCCACGAGCCTTTCTTCTTCTTTATCTTTTCGGAAATGGTCTATGAACTCTTTGAAATTTTTAGGGCGGTCCATGAGTACAAAAAGTTTAGAAAACCCTGCTATACAAGGATCTGTCTTGCAAGTTACCGTAAAACCGTAACACAAGAACATTTAGTTAGTAACGTTGGCTCGATATTTTTGCTTTCAAGTGTGGTGAAGTTAAAGTTACTCCAAACCCAAGCAAGTCCTTAACTCGTCATAGTTAATAAACTAATCTAATTTTGGTCGAACTTAGTTTACATCTCACACTAAATTGAAACGCAGGGGTACAGGCTGTTTCAGAATATAATAATACCTGGGAGAGATAACTTTGTTACTTTGAGATATAGCAGGTTGTAAACGTCTTGTTATTTACATAGATACCTTGTAGAGGGTTATAAGATGCTTTTGGAGCTTTGAGACTAATTCTCAAGTGATAAGAGAAAATCGTTACAACATTGTTAAATTATTATTGAATAAATCGTTTTTTAAATTTAACAGTATTAAAAATTGAACACAAACATTATCTGTAACAAGTATATCAAATTTTTAAATAATAATTGATTACAAAATATTAAAACCACGAGTTACCATAGACAAAGTTGGTTAAATCTATGGCAACCAGCGTTGCATTTTTGAAAGACGACAGACGCAGAGAGAGGGGAGCGCGGTAACCGGTGCCGGCGCCCGCGCCGGGTCAGCAGACAGCGTTATAACGTCCTCAGAACCAGTCCACCCTCGGCTTGGCCGCGCTCCCGATATAAGAAATCCGTTACATGATTTGAAATATTTAACTGTTATAGTAAATCGAAGATTATTTCTTCCAATCACATTTAACGGGTTGAAAAATTACCTGCGGCTTGGGAAGCTACCTTTGCTGAGTTTCCACCGGGCTCATACACTTGACTACGTCCGGACTAGGACGAAGTGCCTGGACCTTCTGATAATTGACGTACGCTCATATAGGGTGAAATTTTATTGCCCATCATACAGGTCGTGCCTATCTACCGACCCGAGAGTTAGGGTTTTCCGGAGAGACTACAGGCTCGACGGCAAGGCCAGGGTGCATCCAGGTAGTCTACGGGCAGGAGATAGAAGAAATATCTATAATTATAGGCTCGAAATATGTGGTTTTTACATTGACTTACAATTATATGGACGTCGGGTCCGCGCTAAAAAGTGTCCGCACTTGTAAGGCGCTAAAATCGTATACAGAGCGCCAAACTCCGCTTTAGTCTTCATTTGTTCTACTGACAGCGCGATACTGCGATGACATTACAATTTAAATTTCGAATAGGTTGACTTGGGACATTTTTTTCGTGGTTTTTGTATTAGACCCGTCGTCCATTTATTTGTAAGTCAATGGGTTTTTACTATTATTTATAAAATAAGTCAAAGAATTGTAAAAATAGGATATATTCAGTTACTGTCTAAAAACTGGTATTTTCACATTAGAAATTTAATTAGGTACTACATTCACATTCACTATAATAATAATGTATTTCCACTAAACAAACGATGTTTTTTAATACGTTTACAGATCGGACAAACTGCGGAATTATTCCAGTATTAGATTCTAATTATTCAGTCTATATTAACTATTCAACATGTTGGCCGACATAAAGTAAAGAGTGGCATTCCAATCTGACAAATCAGTACATGGAAACCTTATTGATTGTGACGTAAATAGGTAAGTTAGTTTAACTTGTTCGAAATTGGAATGCCCTGACAAACAACTTTCGAGTTGGACTTAGAAATACCGACGAAGTTCCTCGAGATAAATTATTTACTATCGCTCTCAAAATAACCGATAATATTGTGTAGAGGTATATTAAAAGGTAATTTTCAGATTAGTTTTCTACTTCTAATTTCAGTGGCAATTTTTATTATTTAAATATTCTAGAATATTATCATAAAGTGTTATTTCATATTTGATTGTAGTAACCTGAAAATTAATTTAATATTTCACGATAATATACTTAAATACTTAAATAATAAAACTCGCCACGAAAATTAGGTAGAAAAAATTACCCAGAGAAATACCTGTAAAGTGTAAAGGCCTGTAGTTTACAGCACGTGGTTTTTAAAAAATCACGTTTCTAAGATAGTGGAAAAAGACGACGTTTCGATTTCACAAATTCAATTACGCTTACAAAAACAATTGGTTTACCCTCTCTCAGCCAACGTATTAAATACAAGCTTAGTAAAGTTCATATTCACTCATCAACTTACTGAGAAGACGTGTTGCATAGTGAATATCTCACTAATTATGTACAGACTGTCCAATTACTTGAAAAACAGCTAAGCACTTTCAAGTTAAGAATATAAATAACTTTTGTTGCCTTTGAAACTTTGTACAAAAACGTTAACGAAATGCATAGCAAAATGGAGATAAGGTGTTAAATATATTTGTGTCTTGGTACAAAAAGAGTGTAAGTAATATGGACTTAAGGCCCCTTCAAATTAGGCGCTTTTAGAAGCGGTGCAGTGGCATGATAGCCGCGCTTCTGTAGCACTTCTGTAAATTTTAGTTCACTATGTGTGGCTTACTAGATAGATACCGTCTGCTTAAACTTATGATGATGAGAAAGGTTGAAGGCAAGAGACGTGTTGGAAAACGTAAAAAGTCATGGTTACAGGAATTAAGGGAGTGGATCGAAGTCACGAGCGCAGAACAACTGTTTAATTTGTCCATGGACGGGGCCAAATTTGTCATGTTGACGGCCAACCTCCAGTATTGGAGACACTTTAGAAAGAAGAGGAATTGTGATTGCAATAGTGGTATGCGCGTGACACGAACGTGGCACTGCAATTGTGATTCAAATTAATAGTGGTCAGAGATGAGTAAGCATCGGGGTATTCATCTGGCGCTTTGTTAACGACGGGTTTAAGTCGGGTTTTAACCCATTTACGCCCGATATCGAGGCCAAAAACTATTTACAACTAAACATTTGTTGTAAACCGAGTTTTGTTCAAATTTAATATTATTGTAAATGTTTACTGCTTTCTGATATAGACGATTCGATTGGCCTTTCTATTGAATCGATTCGCTTGAAAATCGCATTGAAATAAATCGATACACAAAATCGTATCGCACTAAATCGATTTTCATAAAAATCGAATCGTAATCCTGACTTTTTCTTTTAAAAAATGGTTTTACACATCGAAATTTGTAATACGTACAGAATTATACAAAGAAGGATGGCGACATCCCGTGTATTTTGTAACCCAGTGTTTTTGACGACGTGCATTAAGGAGAACTATCAATACTTGTGATTCATTATCAAAGCATCAAAAAAGCTAATTGAGTACAGTCTGTAGAAGCTGGGGCTGTAAAGTTGATATAGGTTATGTTTATAACATTGTCCTGTATTTCGCTTCAGATGTTCAAAAAATAATATGAAAACAATAAGTGTTCAGTTTGTTCCCAAAAAGAATAAAGAACTTCCAAAATGTTCCCAAATCTGCCAAACTTTTCCATATTTAACATAACTTATCGCAATGAAAATTAATAAAAACTAAATCTGCCCTAAGTGGCAGAAATCTGCCACGAATGGTTACAATATTCTCAATATCAATATGATATTGACATTGGTGAGAGGTCTCTTGTCAAAACGTTCCTTTGCAACTTTCACTATGTCTCATTTAAATATTGTCTAAATATTTATTGTTTTATTTTTTGCTTTATGTCATTACTGTTTATTGATTATTTCATTGGGTATTTTATAGCTTTAATGTTTTATGTGTGTACTATAAAATAACCAATAACTAAACATTCGATCATGCTTAAAGTGAAACGTACGTACAAGAACGTTTCTAATCTATGGTTGAACTAAATCAATTGCGTTGTGTTCTTGCATCTATGTTAAAATACAATGTTTTACATTTTTCTTATTCCCAACTTCTAAAAATATACAAAAATATATTCATAACTAGGCATAAACTAAAACGCAAAATTGTACTAACAAAGTCCATGAACGGCTCTTCGGGGCAGCTTTCGCCATCCTTCTTTCGTATTTGCCGTTACTGCCCACGATTTTGAAACCCGGGTTTTAACCCACTGCCCATGTCTGGTAGTGACGCCGCGCTGCTGCAGCGCCGCAGTAGTGCCGCGCTTATATAAGCATCTAATTTAAAGGCACCCTTAGGCATTTCTTGCACTAAATCCCAAATAAATAATTTTTAACCAAATTTTTGTGAAAATTTCCGAAATTGCATATCTAAAGCTAGTTAGTTATTTCAATCGTTTGGAATTCCTTTACGAATATCATCATTTCATCAACAACATAAATAAAGAGAAACAATATTTAATATTGTACAACTTCCCTATGGTTTTGTGTGGCAAGTTTTCGTATTGTATTTTTGTTTTATTAATATGATCGTTTTCTTGAAAGTTTCCTTCTGTAATTCTTCTTAGAAGCCATGCTCACCGAGCTTGTTTTCACTCGAAGCGTCTGCAACAATATAATTTCAATTTTATTTGTATAATACCAAGTGACGGGACCATCGAGTATATAATATATAAAGTACATCAAAAAAATTTAAATATCAACTCTCGTTTGCACTGAAATCACGAATTAGAAAGCTGAAATAGTACAGCGCCAACAACTAACCTCTGTGTACGTCTCCGTATATTCCAAAAATACTATTGTGGGAAATACAGCAAAACATCTAATTACAAAACAAACAGAATCACATTGCATCGGTAATTAAATATTAATAATTATTCAATTTTCGTCAATTCTAGCAAAGCTAAAGTTAAACTGGTCGATTTTAAGTGAAACAATTGACGACACCTGTCAATTGTTTCAAATTCGGGCTGGCCAATAGGAGCGCAGTTGTCACAGCAATGATTTGGCAGAATAGTTTTCAAACAAATTAAATGACATTTCTTCTCTATTTCTGGTTATTTAATGGATGGACGGGACGAACAAATTGTGCGCCTGGTGGTAAGCGACACACCTGTCTATAATTACATGAAATACCATTATCTACTTTTAATAGGTATCAAAAACATATGTATAAATAGGTACTTTGCACACTTTACAATAATTGATCTGGTAAGTGTTACTTCCACATGACCCAATTACGTATATACTTAAATTCTAATTAGGCGAGCAGGACGTGGGCAAAACTAGCCTTTATAATGAGCTCTGACAAAAAAATGTTATTTACACCTGCCATCGTTTGTTGCCTAGCAACTTTTGTTATTAAACATTCTATCAACGACTTCAATCTATAGACAAGAACATTTACAGCAACTACATGTTCCAAACTGTTTCAAACAAAACACTATCAATAGTGACAGTTGTTGCTTTTTAATCTATGATTTATGTTTTGTCTTGTTTTAACACGCGTCATTGCATTGCGAAAGGCGATGGATAGTGTGAGATTTTGTATACTATTTCGCGATTATCAAATATAATGCACAAATTAATCAAAAACCACAACATTACTTACCGAGCCAATGTGAACAATTTAAAACTTTAAATTTATGTCACACAATTAGTCAAGTAGTGAAATGTGAGCAACACTTCAATGTAAATAAATTTTCTAAGTGGACCGCATCTACGTCCGCTATCATGAATGTTTGACAACCAACTAAATGATGTGCAGCGTCTTCACCACATATCAGTGAGACACAGCGTGTGTATGGAACGCCGCATCTACTCGTACGCTAGTGCATAGATATCGTTACATTGTATTTAGAATTTTGAGAACATATATTCACACCATCCATTGTTGACCCGCGTTAACATCAAAGGCACTTGTTTGTAAAGAGTTGGACCTCTTCTCCCTGTGAGTGTAATAAGTGGTGTGTAGTCTTGATCATCGGATCACATCTTTATTTCACTATCCAGTGAACTAAAAAACATTTCTAAATCTAATCTCAATAAAAGTGAAATAAGAATTCGTTTTTATTTACCAGCCACACAAATATGAATGTTTGAATAACTTTTGCTATATTTTGTTTCTATTTTTAATGGAACGCGTAAGTAAAGGTAACAATAAAAACAATAACAACCGCCTTCCCAAAGAAACGCAAAGGTAAACAAAGTGAAATGGATGACTTTAGGGAGTAGGGAATTCAACACACCACCTGCATCTGTATTGCCATGTTCGTTTAATCTCGACATCCTTTACGGAAGGACAAAAAAGCGTCATTTGGTCACACGGTCGATTTAAACATTCATTTACACAACGCATTTTTACACAACACACCAGGGTCTCAAATCTGCTAATTTTCTAGAAGCCATTGGTCATTGTTGTCCATTTAGACTGCACTGAGATTATATTGCGAATAATTATGATAATATTTGTTGTTCTCATTGACTTAGAAATAAAATGGTTGTTCTGCTAAAATCTAGTTGCAATGGTAGTTGAGGCTCCGTAGAGTGTCAGTGGTATGGCAGTGATGGCATTCATTCATTCAAATTGCGTATACTGTTTTTCAAATAGACCAAAGTTTCGGGCCCTTTACAGGGGGTCTACTCTCGCTCCCTGTTCGGCATTCGTCCGAAACAATTACAGCCAAATAAGTAATACTCGACGAAATTAAAAGATGCATGATGTGAATGAGGCTTCATACTCACATTGTCTTTTTAATTTCGTCGAATATTACTTCGACTCATCCGTAAAACAAAGATCTATGTGCAAAATTACTTGTTCTCAGGACAGTGCGTTTCTTTCGTTTTTCTTCGCTGTGGATGTCAATTCGAACCTTGTTCAATTTTATATTTCCGAAAGGAAATAAGATATATAAATTCTCAAAACACATTTACATAGGAATTAATTTGAATAACGAAATTGTTATTTTTCGCTATTTATTCACATCAATCTCTGTTCTTCGGATGAGTCGACTTATTTGACAGTAATTTTTTGGGACAGATGTCGGACGGAGAACCAGAGTCCCATGGTCACGGCAAAAAATATTACATTTCATAAGTAACAATCGCAAAACCCTAACTACTGTAATACATACATTAATTTTTATATCCATATACAGGGTGATAAAAAATCACTGGCCATTTTTTTTTCCTGTGCAATACGATTCAGTAATAGAACACATTAACGAAATAAAAGAAAAAGAAATCCCCATTTTTTTTATATTCATATTTCCCAATAATTTTTAAGGCGTGGTTACCTCAAAATAGTAAATAAAATTGAGCGTTCGGCCTCGAGTTGTCAAGACGCCTAGGCGCCAGCAAGTCGCGCCGCGCGACGACCGACCTGCGCTAACGCATCGCGCGTTAGTTTAATACTTTGTTGTCTCTAAATACATGAATTCGCCCACTCATTCTGCCCACTGCCTCACACCGTTCTTGTTGCTGTAGCCACGGCGTCTACTAATCATCGAGTGTCAATATTGTTCACAATTTTTTGGAGAACTTTGAGACGTCATAACTTATTTATTTGTTAAGTATTGAAAAAAAACCGAACATTTATATTTATGTCCATTATGCAGTATGCTCCTTTAAAATGGTCAGTTTTTTATCACCCTGTATAAAAAACTAAAAAATAAGCTTAGAGTAAGACGATAAATACTCAAAAAAGACAAAAGAGCGGCTTTTACCTCTATGTAACAATATCTCACAAACAGCATTAACAACTAAACAACAAAAAATACCTCCGGTAAAGGTGTGCTTTTATTGTAACAACAACGCACATAAAATTTTATATCGCAAATAAGTACGTATCGTAAAATGTAACTGGAATTGAAAAACTATTTAATGCGATGATAGAAACGTTACTTTTGTCGTTTGCGACATTATATGCGAAAAGAACAAAAAAAGTTAAAAAACTGTTTACAGAAACAAAAAAAAGCTTTTTTGACCTAAAAAGTCGTTGAAAACCAAATACAAAAAATCTTTAAAATCAAGGAGCACTATTTATCCTCTGTTCCATCCATTTTATAGACATTATAATATAAAATATGTATTTATCTAAGTATTTGCAGTCTGTAGTAATTTAATAATTTTACTGTTCCTTTTTATTATTATTATTTTATTACATAATTGAATTTTGTTTTGTTGTGCACGTAAACCCGTTATCGTAATTATTGTGCCCTGTATTTTGGTCCGCAGGAAGAAATTTCTTATAGAAATAAGCAGTATCTTTTGTATGAGTATGATTTGTGTTTTCCTGCACAACAAATAATTAAATAAATAAATACAACAATACGACAAGAAGCACACAGAGAAATTCGTGAGATCCACTGGTTCGTTGCGTGGTTTAAATGGCATAGCGTCTGGCACGGTTTGCTACAAGACGCTGGTTCGAATCCAGCCGAATCGAACGAATTTTTTCTAAGTGTTCGATCTTTGTATTATTAATTATAACAAACGTATTCATAGGTACATGATAAGGCGGTAGTGGTTATTAACTTATTAAAATTGGCACATGATTTAGATTACTAATGACATTGACTTACAAATAAATGGACGACGGGTCTAATACAAAAACCACGAAAAAAATGTCCCAAGTCAACCTATTTAAACGTAGTGACATTTAAAGGAATATGAAAAAGCTAAAACGTTGAATTTAAATTGTAATGTCATCGCAGTACTGTCTAATTTCGCTTGCTTCGCTGTCAGTCGAACAAACGAAGACTAGAGCGTGAATGATTTTAACGCCCTATAAGTTCGGACACTTTTTAGCGCGGCCCCGACGTCCATATAATTGTAAGTCAATGACTAATGATTATAAACTTAGTAAAGGAATCAAAATTAGACGCGATTGAATTTTAACAAGTCCGTACGCTGTCGCGATCGAGCAGGGAGTGACGGTGGAACGGAACAAAATCAGAATGCGAGGCAAAAGAACTATAGAACAATTCAAAATTTAAATAGGAGTGGCCAGGAACCGGAAGAAAGGCGATAAAAAGGTGGGATGACGATGTAAAGAGGTCACACCGTCACAAATTCATTCAATCATCACTAACGACCGATGTTGCCTTACCAAAACTAAAATGGAAACTACTAGAGTTGTCTTAATTTGTGTCCCATTTAAGCAGCAATTAAGTCTTTAAATTGATTTTATTGTATTAAACAAGACTCCGTCATTGATGTGCTATCGGCTCGCCATTGACAATCCACCACTCTTAACTTTTAGCAGAATACCAAACGTACAAAATCCTGCCATTGGCACTCTATCGACCATCAAGCATATAACCAGAAATAGAGACGAAATAAGGGCCACCCACACCTGGTAACTCACCAGGCAAATGGCTCTTATATCACTTTTAAATATCAACTCTCGTTTGCACTAAAATCACAAAAAATCAAAAGCTGAAAAAGTACAGCGCCAACGACTGACCTGTGTGTACGTCTTTTATAACATTAAATGACGGGACGAACAAGTCGTGCGCCTGATGAAGCAACACGCCTGTCCATAACAGTTACAGTGCCACTCAGAGCTTTAAATTGTATATTCCAATAGTATTCTGTATTTATTA